AAAATCATCGAATGACTGCTCCCGCCTGGGTGAGGCGGGAGGGAGTGTCAGACTCTAACTGACTAAAAACCACGTTCCTTCTCCTGTACGTCGAGCCGGAGCCCCGGTAACCCGTTAGGTTCTCCGCGACGTACAGGCAGGGTATGGGTTGAACTAGGTGATAGGAATTAGGATACTTTTTATTACGACTAAATGCTCCTATGGGATAAAATAGGAATCATATTCTACGCAGACGAAGTTGCGGGTAACAGCTAGTATTATATAATTATATTAATTGTAAATTAAAGATAACCTACCATTACTTAACAACACTTACTAACACAGGAACAGCTCAATATATCCTTTATTGCGATATGTTGCGAAACTAAGCATAGGGCTTAACTGCAGAATAATGTTCCGGAGCTCAAGCCATACAAATAGTGCTGACAACTTCTAGCCCGGGATTTGGGAATAAAAAACGGGAATTTGGATGTAAATTGTGAACATTTTGTGTTAGTATAGTAATTTATGTGATCACTTAATTCTACGTTAGGATTAGGATTTCAAGTAATTTATTGCTATTTCTTTGTTAGTAGTTTAAGCAGTTATAAGTTTTAAGTGTAAGAGAGCCATGCTTCGACACGAATGGGCCGGCTCGACCGGAGTGATACCACAGCCTCACAGAAAGCCGACGTGAAGCAACGCTTGCGTTGTGTTTCGTCGTGTGGGTGAGGTTACCGGAGGGCCAATTACCCCCCTCCCTAGTCTTCCGACTCCCCGATTCCTCCACAATCCTCAAATTCCCAATTCCCAAAAGGCCAGTAACGCACTTGTAACGCCTTAGTGTTTCGGGTGTCCATGGGCGGCGCCGATAGATTACCATCAGGTGATCCGTTTGCTTGTTTACCGGCTTATGCTACAAAAAAAAATTATAGCAAATTCATATCAATTTAGATCCATTGGTCACAACAATGTTTTCGATTGACTTAAACGGTATTAGATTTATTTACTTATCAACCTTTGTAAAGTTATATTTTTATTTGGTACTTACTTACTTTTAATTTATCAACAGCCTTTAATAATGACCGTAGCATCTTACAAGGTAATTTTTTTCTATCATTTTCTCAACTGAAATAGTAAAAATAAAATTGCCAGTCCTGACTATTGTCACTGGCGACTCACGACAGTCGCCACGTCGCGGGTCGCCGAATTACTGCTCATGAATATGTGAGCATGGCTTGATTGAAACTGATCGAGTTCCTCGTAAACAGTTGCGTGAGTAATCTGAGAACTAACTAATTCAGTTACCTTCTATAAAATCCCACGCATGAGTTATTAAGTAAAACATTTTCTTCTTTTATGAATCCCGGGACACATCCCAGCACTAGTTCTCCGTAACGTTTATGTTTTACTATATCATGGCTATTATCATTGTTTATATCTCTCTTGTAGGTACTTACTAATGACTGATGGCCGGCTTCCGACGATCATTAGGTACCATTGTTTTAAGGAAAATTCTTGAGAATTCTTGTTTTTTACATTTTGCGTTTAGGGTTATTTTTTTTTATGTTTTGCAGTAGGAGTAGGCAGGGCCGTCCTAGACCACACTGGGCCCTTGAATTCACAATAATTCGGGGTGCTTGTGGAATGTTTCTTTTCTTATAACGATGCTCGACACTAGGATTTTCTCCTATATCGTGGCTGCAATTACAAACATACAAGTTCACATACACATAATGCAGACACGAAACGAAAATTTGTGGATCACACAAAGATTTGCTCCGTCCGGGAATTGAACTCGCTATATGTGTGTCCCTCCTCCAGGGCCCCCTGAGGATGGGGCCCTGTGCACGGGCCCAGAGTGTAAAGATGGTAAAGATGACGATGGTGAAGACGATATTGGGAGTAGTTATGTATGTAAGTACCTATCTGTCTGTGTAATTTGACGAGTGACCGCTTAACTTGGAATCAGTAAGACTATTACTAGGTCAACAAGAAATATGGGTTGTCAATGCTGTATTAACATGTATCAAGATTATCAAGCTTGCCTTTTTTTGTTAGTGAATAATGAGTGCAGTTGTAGATTTATGATATATACATTTTCCAGTGGCATAATGTACACCTCTGCCTACCCCTTCGGGAATAAAAGGCGTGATGTTATGTTATGTATTGTAGATTTATGTAGGTAGTCTTTATAAAAATTAATAAGTGGCTCTATACTTGTTTCTAGTAGTAATGGAGTCATTTTACCCGTTGTAAAATGACGAATCAAAAATTTAACAAACTTTGCTATTCGTTAAAAATTTGCACGCACGGCTGTTTGGAATCAAATCATTTTTTGTGCTATAATTAATTTTTTTTAGGTCAATTACCATTTTGTAAACAAGTGACATCTATAGGAACCTGCAGTAAATACAGGGTTTATTGTCCGAGCGGGACAGGGTGAATAGTTGTAGCGGTTGGTACAATCGGGGTGCAAAATAGTACTCCTTTCTAAACATAGATGGCGCTGTCGTCTCTCTCGACATTACTGCCATCTGTGAAAATACTTGGGACTCAATATCCGTTTACATTATTTTTTATTTGAAGTAATTTGCATTTAATAGTTTATTAAAATGGCAAATGTAATATCAATTACTTTTCATGAAATATTTAACGACAACAACGAAAAACTATTTGCTGTTGTTTTAAAAAATACATTTAGTACATCGAGGTTTTACTAGAGGGCGCTATTTACAAATTAGGACAACCAAGTTTAAATTTCTTTATTAAAAATAGTAAAATAATTGAATTTGGAGTTGTATTCACCAAAATAATAATAATAAATCTCTTAGTTTTAATAAACATAGTTTCTCAGTCCGATATCTTCTACCATAATTTATTAATCTGATAAAGTTCTACATCGCGATTGTTAAATTTTCTGACTAGAAATCATAAGTATCAAAAATGTTACGCAATCAGTGTACTTGCTTCGGCAGTACATATACTAAAATTGGAACGATACAGAGAAGATTAGCATGGCCCCTGCGCAAGGATGACACGCAAAATCGTGAAGCGTTCCACATTTTTTGGACATTTAACGTATGATTGTATGTTTTTTATTACACTTGATAAGTTGACGTTTGACCACAATCCGCGCGATTGTAAACTGCTTCGTTGGCCGAGTGGTCGCAAGCGCAAATGCCGGGTAAGTGGTCTCGGGTTCGATTTCCGGGCCGAGCAAAGTATTAAGTACCTACTGGGTTTATAAAAAAAGTCTCTATTGTAACACGGAGTCTGGAAATGTGCCCGGTATATGAGAATAGGCTCACCCTCTATTACATGGGACTCATAACATAAATAGTGGAAAGTGGGTGTTACATTGTATAGTGGTATAATGTGCACCTCTGCCTACTCCTTCGGGGATAAAAGGCGTGATGTTATGTTATGTTACGTAATAATTCAAATGTCGTGGTAGGCCGGAGGTTTAAGTCGCTCGCTTCTCATGCATGAGGGTAGGGGTTCAAAACCTACCAACGGCAAGTACCAATGTGACTTTTCCGAGTTATATGTATTTTCTGCGATTATCTAGACACCAATGACAAACGGTGAAGGAAAACATCGTGAGGAAACCTGGACCTATAATTTCTAATTATAAGTTTGTAATCGCCAACCCGCAACGGGCAAGCGTGGTGATTAATGCTCAAACCTTCTCCGTGTAAGAAGAGGTTTGCTCAGCAGTGGGCACTTATAGGCCGTTGATGATGACAATGATGATGACGAATATTTCAATTTGCGACTTCTAAAATTCTTTAATACAGTCTATAATGCATGTACATAAGGCCCACCAATACAGTGGTACACAGGACTCTAATGCATAGATAACACTCTTGTTTCTTCTATGATAAATTACAGACTCGACTAAACATTACATGCTTTGTTATGTAATAACAGTTACTTAAAGAAAAATACTGTCCATAGAATTTGTAAGCCATGTCTCTTGCAATCAACACGAGTTCTACAGTGGTCCCTGGATTCCCCAGGGGGAAAAAACTGCGTCTTGTCTAGAATCAATGTGTGGAAGTTGCGGTCGATTTAACATCGAGTTTTGGTCTTAGTATATGTTTTTTTTGGTGGTGTTGAATTGAAAAGCTTACTGGAAATAGTGGAACTTTATTTAAGTATTCCTTTTTATTCAAACCACGAATATATTACGTTTAAATGTTTGTATACCCAGATTTAGTTTTTATAATTTACAAACTTGCTCCGAGGATTGAAGCGCTGCGAGCTGAAGCACAGGCTTAAGACCTATTTCAGCAACAGATGCTAAAATTGTTTTCATGATACAAATATTATGTAAGTTATATGATAGACATTATGTAAAACAAAATTGTGTAAACTCTTTCTTGATTCAATAAATTTATTATTATTATTATATAATCCGTTGGTATATTATAGTACATAATATAACCAATAGCACTCTCATTGCCGTACAAAATACATTGTTTTTATACAAAGTAATCATTCTACTATTACGTCTTAAGTATTTATGTCTGCAATAGTGTTAAACGTATGGACGATGTTAGACTATAAGAATTTTAAATTTTTAGTAAGGTTTGTAATTAGTACCTATAATGCGTCAAGCGTGTCTTTGCAGTGTTCTCACATATACGTACAGTATTGGAATATGTATCGGAGACATTGTAGAACATCCTTTTTTAAAAAGAGTAACCAATGTCGTTTCTTGCTCGTTCTTCTCCATTCGAATCTTGGAATGAGCACCTAGTTTCACTGACGGATTGACTGACAGGCTATTATTTATTTTGTATTTGTTGACGTTTCAGAAGTACCAAATTATGGTTTAATTGAAATAAATGCTTTGACTTTGACTTTTATGGATAGCTTCTTAAATTTCAAGGCCATCATCACGTTTCTTCACAGAAATTTACTTGAAAAATATGCCGTACACCATTTTGTATGATGAAAAATTTAATAATGCAGCTCGAACATAAAACTTCATATTATTATTCCACGTGTTGTAGGTGGACTGTAGTAGAGCCTGGTCAGGTCGTCAACCACTACGGTCAGATCATAGATGGGTGGCCAATCTACCTGAAGTATGAGAGCTTACGTGACCGTTACTAGAACACGGAATCTATGGAGATGGTAAAAAATATCGTCGAGTATGTTTTAAACTTTTTCGATCATATATTTTATAGTGAACTAGCGACTTGCCCCGGCTTCGCACGGGTTCAATATGTATGTATTACACATATAAACCTTCCATAAAAATCACTCTATATATTAAAAAAACTGCATCAAAATCGGTTGCGTAGTTTTAAAGATCTAAGCATACATAGGGACAGACAGACGGAGGATAGCGACTTTGTTTTCTACTATGTAGTGATACCGTCGCATGAAGTACCACTCATGTTCATTTTGTCACAGTGCTTCTTTTTGGAATCTCTCAGTGGATCATCACGAAAACCACTCGCTTCATTCGTGAATTCAGGCGGGGCTGGGCTAGAGAGCGGCGATCTCGTCAAGTGCAAGCAAACATTAATTTAATTGTGGTCAAGCGAATGTGGCCCCATTGTACCTAACTAGACCACACTCCCTTTGATTTTCGTTTTTGAACTCAGCGAAAGAATGTAACCAAAAATTGTATTGTGAACATGATTGAAAAAGAGTAACCTATGGAGTTTCTTGCTCGTTCTTCTCCATAGGAATCTACACTTTGGAACGAGCAAATAGCTTCACTAGAGGACTGACCTACAGACTGACATTTTTTCTTTGATATTTAAATATTTTGTTTTGACGTTCAAAAGTACCTTCCTGGTGTAATTGAAATACATTTTGACTTTGACTTTCTCTAATACTTTAAATATTATTATTAGATAACAGTCTTGCCTCCATAACGAACATCACCTACTTCACTATAGGTGTCACTGCGCACCCGACAACATAAATTTTTATAAAACACCTCCATAGTTTTCTCTGTTGTCCATACTTCAAGTGGATACTTAAATGGGTTTTAGTAATGAGTTAGCGTGTCTAGACAGCCTGGGTACCGACTATGTAAATTAGTACTAAGCCTGCCACCTCCATTTCTGTCCAACAGTATTAAATTTTGAATTACTGAAGCATATTTGGAATCATAATATTATTAAAGTAAAATATTGGAGTTTGTGCAATGTGAATGTACTCAGCTGTAGGGATGCAAAGGTATTTTGCATTTTGATATATTGAAATGTTTCTTTGTGCCCATTATTTCGAAGTTAGGGGTGTTTTGTGTCGCGGAGAACCTAACGGGTAACCGGGGCTCCGGCTCGACGTGCAGGAGAAGGAACGGGGTAGTTTTTAGTTAGTAAGAGTCTGACAGTCCCTCCCGCCTCACCCAGGTGGGAGCAGTCATTCGATGATATCCCCCCCTTAAAAAAAGGGGTGTTTTCTTGTCACCTGTAAATACTAGTCTGTTTCATTGGATGGAGAAATGTATTTAATAATAGCGAAGGTTATTGAACGTTTGGATATTTGTGTTGCTAAATTGTAGCTTGAATAATACGATATGATTTGGGTTATTTATAAATTGTTAGTTAAATTAAAGTAGACTACGAAATTGTAATATTTTCATTGGCCCGTCTAGTTAACCAATTAAAAAAAAAGTTCTTAGTGTAGTCTATACGATTGTTCCTTGATTACTTTGATTCAATAAAAATTTGTACACAGTAGAAAAAGATATTTATTTCCAATATGTGCTATATTTATAAGCAATATCCCGCCAGACGTAGCTGCGTAGTGGTAACGGAAATTGTGTTTCGACTCGATCACGACTGCACTTCAACAAATATATCCCTCGCATTATATTTATGTTTGAACTTTTTAGTTTAACATGCAACTAGGTGTGCTTCTTTAAATGAAATGTAACGATTTATTAATTAAACTTTCACATAGCCATACCTTACTCTTTGTGTTTTAAAATTGTGTTCTGGCTTCGTATAAACAGCTTCATTTCTCTACACTTCCCTATGGTTGACTGTCAGAGAATATCTTAAGGCATTAACGCCTGAATACTGGAAGGTTATTAAATTTTAAATTGTATTTAAATATTGTGTAGTTTCTGTTATTTCACAAACACTTTGTATAGAGAACTATAATAAAGCGCGATTTAAACTTTATTAGCTTTCAGTATTGGGGCGTAAGTGAGCCATCCATTATTATTTTTGTGAAGGACAAATAAATAAATAATAATGAAATCATCTCCAACGCAAGCTTTATGTTAACTTCTTGTTAAAATATGCAGAGAAGAAAAACTGAAAAAGCAAATTTCGACATTTAGCTATTCCGACATTCAAAAAACCAAAAACTGATAACAAATAAAAAGTCAAAAGTAAAAAATAACTAATATTAGTACTGATAGGTTACCCACCCACTGATAGATTAGAAGTCAGCGCCATAAGTTCTATACAAAATTATTAATTAAAACCTTAATAGATAGCTAATTTATTTAATTTATGATATGAGCTTATGGCTACGATTTCTAACCTATCAATGGGTGGGTGGCTATACTCTATCTCGGGAGTATACCCTTTCAAACAAAACAAGAAATTTGAAAATCTCAGCCGAAAAAAAGTACCTCCTCCTTATTTTGAAGTCGGTAAAAATATCATAGGTAAGTCAAACACAAAATCGCGCCAACATCAAAGAAGGATGCTAGTGCATAAACATGCGCTTAACGACACATTAAGTATAACACGCCCCCTTTTTATGAAACAAATCCCGATTATTTCCTTATTTGCAATCCTCCATGTGTAATACAACATCTCAAACAAGACCGTTACACATCCGTGTCTTGTGTACCACACAAAAACGTCAAACAGTTGTTGTTCCGCAAACAAATTACGGAGAGGACCCGCATCACACCACTTGTAATTGTCCAACGTTCGGCTGTGGTGTGGGCTAAAGTGGAACATTTATCTTGCAACATTGTGAATTGTTATCCTAAAGACATCGGTCATGTTGAATGCTTCTCTGTTTCTATCTTTAGGAATGCTTTTTGCTGTTTTAATAGCTTAGGAAGCTATTTATTTATTTATATATGCTTTATTGTACACATTTAAGTACTTAGCTAAAAAAAACAAACAATTCAAGTAAATATACGTACAATGGTCTTATCACACAATAGTGATTTCTTCCAGACAAGATTTGGATGGAAATATTTATAAGTAACCAGATATGGGGTAACTAAGTGTACAATAAAAAAAACATAACATCACGCCTTTTATCCCCGAAAGGGTAAGCATAGGTGCACATTATGCCACTGTACAATGTAGCACCCACTTTTCACTATTTATGTTATGAGTCCCATGTAATAGGTGGTGAGCCTATTGTCATATACCGGCCACAGTTTCAGACTCCGTGCTACTACGGAGAATGTTTAAAAAACCCAGTAATACTTTGCTCGACCCGGGAATCGAACCCGAGACCCCTTGCCCGGCAGTCGCACTTGCGACCACTGGGTCAACGAGGCAGTCAAAGTAAATATAGTTCTGTCACTAAATTTCTTTTTAAAATAACAGAGATGGCACGATATATTAAAATTGAGGAGCTTTTCAGTATTAGGGTGTTAATCAGACAAAACAAAGTAACGAGTTACAACAAAGAGTTACATAATCACATGTTTAATTAAACAAAGTAACCAAATAATGTAACACGAATATATTAGAACACATTACCCCACATATTGAGCCAGTACAATAAAATCTTCAATTGTCTCGTTGCACATATAGCTGAAAGCTGTAAAGTGCACTAAGTCTGCGACAATTAACTGCGCTGCGTCGAAATAGCTTGCACTATGAACTCCGGTGCTAATAAAATTCAGCTTTTAGTACACTTCTGGGTTTCATATAGTTCTTTGTACTCTAATTTCACATATAAATGCAAATATAAGGTTGTTACTTTAAATTAAATTGCGTGTATCATTGTGTTCTGAGTTCATCGTGAGTAGGTTACGGGGATCAAGTCTGTTAAGATTCTGTTGAAGGTTCTCAGTTGGTCATTCCTTAATGTCTATATTCAGACATCGCCTAGGCTCCGGCTCGATGTGCAGGAGTAGGAATGGAGAGGTTTTAGTCAGCAAGAGTCTGACACTTCCTCCCTCCTCACCCAGGTAAAGTCAGTCGATGATATCCCCCCTTAAAAACACATTACTGTCACTAAATGTATAAACAACAATGTTAGATTAAAGCCAAAACCACCATATTCACCAGATATGGCTCCTGCTGACTTTTTTCTTTTTTCTAAACTCAAATTACCACTTCGTGGCACACGTTTTCAATCGATAGAAGACATAAAGGAGAATTCGCGGCGAGAACTGAACTCAATTCCAGAAGCAGCGTTTAAAAAATGTTTTGATGAATGGATTATTCGTTGGCGCAAGTGTATCGTTTCTAAAGGAGCATACTTTGAAGATGATAAAATAAATTTGGATGAATAACAGACATTTTGTGTATTATTGATCTTTTCCCGGTACTTTCTTGACAGAGTAGTTAGTAGTCTTTCATGGAAGTATCGAAGCAAATAGTTTACATTATTTAAATATCTTACTAATCATAAATATGAAATGAGTTTGTGTGTTTGTGCGTATATATGTTTGTTAGTCAATCACGTCAATACGGGTGAAGGGATCAGGATAAAATTTGGAACAGGGATACATTATGGTTTGGGAAAAAACATAGACCACTTTTATACCCTCGAGACCGCAGTTGAAGCCGCTGACAGCCGCTTGTCTATATACACCTATATATAAAAATGAATCCCTTTTCCCCTTGGTCACGACATCACGCGTGAATGGCTGAACCGATTTCACTAATTCTTTTTTGTAGTATTTGTTATTTTTAGGAGATGGTTCTGATAGAAAAAATCTAAATATCCCGTAGGATTTCCCGTAGTGTTTGGACGAATACGAAGTCGCGAGCAGAACCTAGTATGTCACCAGATATTTGAAGCTATTTCTCACACGAGTATCACTCCTTCTCCCCTCTGCCCCGCCAGTAATGCCAAATTCTTCTTTTAAATATTTTAGTGTGTAAACAGTGAAGTCATGTTCCTTGTTAATAATAGCCACTACCACCTACATCTAAGGA